ACAATTCTCTTTCATGTCTGTCCTAATCAAGGGGGTCTGAAAATTGCACAGAGTAGACACTCAGAAATATCTGCAAGGACAATAGGAATTTCCAACAGGCTTGACAAGCACTGAATGATAGAAGGGAAGACTAGAGGACAGGATCCATCTTGTATATGCCAGCACATAATACCTCTCTTTTAAATTAGCCTTCCATGTACATACAAGTATTTTGTTCTTCTTTATGATTTTGATAAAACACAATCACTAACAGATTAGAGTTATTCCAATCAACTAGAAGGGAGCAAGGAAAATGGGGAGTTCCAACTCTTGCTGTATTGAATCCTACTAACCCTCCCTTATATAAAAATGTTCTTACTATTTGAGGGAAGTTATGTTATGGCCTATTGAGTTTTTTAATTAAGCATAGTGACCATGCTGTTAAACAGATTTTCATAACTTACTCATCTTGTATAACTAAAACTATATCCTTCCACCAACATCTCCCCATTTTCTCCAGTCCCTACAAACTACCAATTGTACTCTGGGCTTCTATGAGTTCAACTACTTAAGAGTATACATACAAGTGAGATCATACAGAATTTGTCTTACTATGTGTGGTTATCTCACTTAATGAGGTCCTCCAGGTTCATCCATGTTGTCACAAATGGAAGAATTTCCTTCTTTAATGATTGATAATATTTCATTGTATGTATATATATACACATTTCCCTTTATTCATTCCTTTCTCAATAGACATATTGGTTACTTGCTTATCTTGGCTATTGTAAAGAAATGATCTATGCGTTTTATCAACTCTATACTCATTCTCTTTTTCAATTCTTTCATATCTTGCCAAGGTCCACACCTGACTCTCACACTGATTTATTAAAAAAAAAAAAAGGCCATTCCACCAAGCTCTTCATGGGATGGCATAAAAGTCCACTACCATAGCAAAGACCTCAAATTACACAGATGTTAATCTAAACAATGGAAGTTCCCTGAGCATTGCAGGATAAAAGTGCTTCATAGAATTAAGATATAATTTTCTTGGCTGTAATATTTCCGAGTTTTATAATCATTTCTTTAAACTCAGATCAGTGATGTGTGCTACAGGACTTGCAGAAACAAAATTCTTCAAGTAATTTGGAAATAATATATGCTACTGAAACCCATAATGTTATAAATTATCATCAGTAATAAATGAAGGAATCCGAAACTCTCAATTACATAAGTAATGCTTTCTGCAAAGAAAGTTATAAGAATTTATCTCCCATGTGCTATCAAATGTAAACAGACCTACAAAAATTGTCTGATAGTCTAGGCCCATGGATACAGGAAGTAGACAACTACTTGGTAATAAATTCATGATTTATTTTTATTTAGTTATAGGCCTTTCTTAGGATTTAAAAAATCTATTTTTTATTTTAGCATACCGTGTATAGTGCTAAAAATATTCAAACTTTTTAAAAGATATTTTCAAATAAAGCATTCTCTTCAATACAAGTGGTTAAGCAGATTGTATATTTACCAAAATTTGATTTCAATTAACCATTCTTAACAGTATCATATTTTACTGAAAAAAGTAAAACCAAATAAATAAATGAATAAATTTTTAAAAAGTAAAGCCAAGTATTAAAACACTTCCATTCCATACTAGTAGGGAAAGTTCCAAATTGAAGCTCATAAAAAGTAACAGTGACATAAACTCAATTGTTGCACCAAGTTACCAAAAGAACATGCAGAAACACAGGCATTCAAGAAAATAAATTATTCTGATTTTGCTGTTAGCTGGCACAAATTATTCATTTCCTTGGACTTCATACAAAAAGTCTTCAGAGGAAAAGGAGAAATGTGATCAAAGAGCAAAGCACATTACTCATTGTCTGCCTGCCTTGCAATAACTAGGAGTTCTGATCATTCCTCATCCCCCAACAGCCTTGCAGGATGTGTCCAGAAGCCAGTCTATTACACACTTAAATTTTCTCATCCACTAACTTGCTTTATTTTGTAGGTTTCTGCAACAGTTCTCAGCAATGGTAGTATCCTGATTCTTGACTCATTAAAAAAAATGCCTCCAGCTATTTGTTGCTAATAAAATAGTAGAGTTTTCAGATGATTTCCTTTAGAAAGCTGATATGGGATTATTTCTAAAATAATCAAAGCTGATAAAGTATTTACATTTAGTGGGTCATAGATAACTAGGAAGGACTCACTGTCCATGGTGCTGGATAAGGCAGTAGACAAGAGGACAACAGAAGCAACATGTTGGTGTGGAAGGTTCAGACAGGGTTGGGGGTCTCATAGGGTCTCTCTTCCTGCTTGCATATGGCAATTCCACACCATGAATTCACACAACATTTTTTCTGTGTGCACTTGGAGAGAGAGAGGACATTCTGGTACTTCTTCCTCTTATTACAAGGGAACAAGTCCTATCAGACTATGCCCTACACTTAAGACCTCCTTTAACTTTAATTATCATCCTACAGAACCTTATAGTCACCTGAGAAATTAGAGTTTCAACATGTAAATCTGGGGGATACACAATGTAATTCACAGCACACACTGAAAGAAAAGAAGAAAAACAAGGCCTGATCCTACCACTCTCTACTTTTATTTAACTCAGAATTATTGCTGTAGGCAAAGAGCTCTTTAAAAGATCACCACACTGCTACAGAATCACCTGCCTATATACCTGTCCCAAGAAACACCCCACTAAGGCTTGGCTATCTTGGCTAAAACCACACCTTGTCACTGCCACTGTATGTTTAACTGACCAGCCAGGAAATACTTTTAATGTGGGGGGAGGTACTGAATATTTAACCCAGGGGCACTCTACCATTGATTTACATCAATTCCATGACACTTTTTTATTTTTTATTTTGAGACAGGGCCCCACTAATTTGCACAGTTTAACCTTAAAATGTGAGATCTTCTAGACTAGGCCTATCAAATCGCTGGGATTATGGGTTATGCATCTGGCTCAACCAGCAAATACTGGTTACCAAATGTATCTCAGAGTGAAAGTAGATACAAAAGAAGTATAATATTCACACAGTTCAGGAGAACAGAGAAAGTACCCATAGATCAACCACTGAGCTAGATCAGCCCACTGACACTGTGGGCTGAATCTAGACAGTGTGGTCTAGAATCTTTATGAGAGTTATGTGAAATTTGCACAGATTGGAGAACACTCTACAAATAGCTTTACAAATACACCTATGACCACCACCTCCCTCATAATCCTCTACCATAATTCTTAGTCAACTTTCCATTACTATAATAAAATACTTGAGATAACTGACTCATCAAGAGGAAAAGTTCATCTGGGCTCACAGTTTTAGAGGTTTTGTCCATGGTAGATTGGCCTCACTGCTTTCGAGCCTGTGGTAAGGCAGAGCATCATGGCAACTAGGAAGTGTATCATAGATCAAAGATCTACTTACCTCATGGTGGCTGATAAGTGAAAGAGGAAATGGCTGGGATCCTGTGATCCCTGTGACCTATCTCTTTTTTTTGTTTGTTTGTTTTTAAAAAGAATTGTTTATTTACTGAACCTGGGGCATATATTAGATACACAACCAATTTTAAATTTACATTTTTTAATTCAATTTTGAAGTGTTTTCACACACAAAAAAAGAAATTGGTATGCAACAGTTGTCCTAAGGTGAAACAGTCACCTTATTGATAAACTGTTGCAAGTATTTTCACCCAAGGCTGAAAAATTGTGTCCTGAACATGAAAACCTGTAACAAATTTAAATTAATTATATAAAACTTGTTACTTGTAGTTTTCCCCTTGCAAAGATTCAAAAAAAAATGGTACAAATAACTAATATACATTGGTCACAACATAATCCTGGATCATTTCCACACAAAACCCGATGCTCCTTTAATTTTAAACCCATCATCAGAGATCAAGAGAAAGTCTTTTCATTTTATATAAAATGAAATTCACATGTACCAAAAAAGAAAGACCCAGGAGAAACAAAAACAAAAACCCTAGTGCTGACACTGATACTCAGTGTCTTAAAGTGGCCCAAAGGCCACTCTCAAAAATAAAATAGTGGCTATATCTCACTGCAATGAAACCCAAGAGGCTTTAACCCTTTGGCATCAGAAACCCAGATTTTTTCCAATTACGTGAATGAACACTTCCCACATGCCAAGCGTGAAAAAGGAGCTGTGCCAGTGCAGAAAAGAAAAGCTAGCATTTGATCAAATACCCAGAGAATCGACTTTTCAGAGACTTCTTATGAGGTTAGGCGGAAACAAACAAACAAAAAAAAGATTATTAGCTGCTTGTGTCATCAATATTTGTGGAGGTGATTGAGTTCTAAGGTCATATGTAAAAATTTGGGGCAAGTCTTATGTGTAAAACAAAACAAAAAGACCAAATATAAACACACCCAGCCTGATAGTACACTCCCCAGTCAGATAGCACTGCCATTAGGCTGGGCAGAAAATGTCAAGATTCAGACTGTTGCTTCACTCCATGAGTCAACAAAATGAAACTTTAATGACTTGAACCACAGGATGAGGGAGTCCAAAGAATGCAGCCATTTTAGTAAAGTACCATCAGGCTTTGTGTTGCTTTCCTGCATTTACTACAAAAGGGAAATAAGACATAATAAAGACTATACTCCTATATTTCATTTACAGTG